TTTCCTCCAAACTTGCAGTAAAATGCAACTCAATAGTAGACTTGCATGAACAGTGAACGGGGCAGAACCAACAGCACATCTCCCCAAATGCACTTAAAAATCTAAAATCAAAGCTAGCAAGCATTTCCCTCAGATAATCAATCTGTGATGCTTTGAGATAGCTAGAGTGATCTTTTCGCTCAGCAGTGCCCTGCCACTGGGAATTGGCACTGTGCAGTGAACGGGGCCAGCATGGAGCAGAAGTGCTCCTGCAAGCCAGCTGAGAGGCAGGGCTGGGAGGCGGAAGAATGGCCCAGGAAGAACACAGCTCTGCCTGTCTGGAAATCTCTTTCTTTCCCCCATTCTGGAGACAGGCAGGCAGAGATGACCCTGAGGAAACCGTGTCACCACTGCAGTTGGTTGTCCATCAGTTTAGCACCAATAGCAAAATTAAGATGGGAAAAGGAAGCGGTGGGAGGTCAGAGGAGTATGAAGCCATGATGTGGCTGAAGTTTGCTCCTAATCGGAGCTCCTCCCAAGCATAATTAGGGTTGTGCCCATGGCAGAACTGCAGTTCTTTGGTGTAAATTTAAGATCTGAGGAGAGCCACGAGATATTCTGTGGGCCAAAATCACTTGAGACATTATCAAACACTGGTGCATTAGAGGAAATACACTCCCTCGTAGCAAAGGGAAACTGTTCCTAGGTTATCATTCTAGCTCCTATGCTGTATCAACAGCATGACTTCATCTTTTGCAATTGTCTGAGTCAAAAGCAGGATATTTATTTAGAAATTCTGCCATGAGTGATTAGCCTGCGCAAAGTTAGAGTGGAGATCAGTTTTATTGTTCAAGGAAGAAAAAACTGGCAGTGTTTTGCAGAATTGCAGATGACGCTGTGTTTTGCCTGCACCCTGTCACCCTCCTGAGCTACAGTGCTGTCCCTGGGGGCACTGCGTGAACATCTCTTAACTAAGAACTCCATCTATGAAATTTACTTCAGTGTCAGTCCTTTGGTCACCTATACATTGCCAAAAATAGGATCCCCTGGCATTTAATTTACTGCTGTAAGGCACACATCCCAGAAGGGCTCAAGCACCTCTTTGCTTTCCCACAGAGGCCAGTGGAGACAGAGAGGCATGCTGACTCTTGAGAATCAGTCACCCATGAGGTGTTATTCAAAAGATTCTTCCCTTTACTGGAGGGAAAAGCAGCATCATATCAACTGATCAGAACTAGTTCATGTCATAACGATGATGAAACATTAACACAAATATTTGGAAAAGGATCATTAAACCCTAATAGGTTATTAGCTTCATAATTTTCTCATTTTTCATTCTCAAAACACTGTCAGTATTTCTAAAAGGCTTCCACATCCAGGTATGACTGCATTTGATGCTGCTATTTTATATCATAATACTTTTTTTTTTTTTTTTTGCAACAGTCCATTTTCTTCAAATGTTTGAGATTTTGAAAGCAATTCTAGCAACTCTTCCTTAAAAATACTGTGAGTCAATGTAAATTATGACTTAGAATGAATGTCACATAATTCATTGTCTTATAAATGAAACAACTCAAATGTTAAAATAATGTGGTATGAAGATATTTAGGCATTTGACAACATGGTCTTCTACCAGCCTCCAGAACGATAAGGGTAAAAAGTGGAAATCCTTCAAGTGTTATCACTGACACACAGAAACAGATTGGCCAAAGCAGGAGATAATGCACAAATACAGAGTATTTCTCAAGAGAAAACTGCCAAGTCCTTTCTGTTTTGAGTCTGCTGTGATAAATAATTTCACTCTCGACCATTTCCTTTTCTACCCCCACTTAAGAAGAAAGAATAGGTCAAACTTTGCCAGTCCGTTAGCTCCAGTGATTCTATGTTGGGTGATAACAGCCAAAAACCTGATTCAAACAATTGAAGCAGCTCCTAACAAAAATAAAAATTGCACATTAAAGATGTAACCCTTTGGTGCCAATTTCATTCAGATACTTTAACCAGCACTAATTAAAAGCATATTTAGCAGCCTTGGTTACAAGACTAGCCCCAAGGTCAGGAGAGAACAAAATCTGAATTAGAAAGCAGCAGCCCCATTACTACTTGATTAATTTGCAGTGAAACTGTGTCGTGGTGAGTCACCAGCATCACAAAGTGGTCGTAGAAATTTTCCATTAGTTAGTGCCTGGCTGAACTGGCTTCAGCCAAACAGTTCTGGAAGGGCTTTTCAAACTTCCACTGATAAAAGCTGTTGTTAGCCACCTAAACTCTATAAATGCTTTACAGGGTGGAGGGAGAATAAGTTTCTGAGAGCTTCCCAGGCTTTGACATTTGGAAAACAGATTCACTCAAATGCAGACAGATATCACCCTAACTTGGTATGTTCTTGCTTTTGTCAGCTGCCAGAAGCAGAGATGGATGAAGCAAGAATCCACACCATTTGCAACTACATCCGGTTTGCAACCTGGATTATTCTTGTCTAAAACCAAACAGCATCTGGTGACCCACTCTTCCCAGTATACCCCCTTGTCTTTGACTTCCAGAAGAATCATATAGAGCACAGAAGTTATTACAGCTTTCATAAAGCTGCTGAACGCTGAGACCAACTTCCAACAATGATTAGTAGTAACTCCCTCATCCAGTCAGCAAGGACCAAAACAAATCCAGAAGCCTTTCTGCTGTGTCCCAGATTTAATTTCCTTCTGGCTTTCTACTTCTCTGCCTTCTGCACCTCCCAAAGTCACAGGTTTGTTCAGTTACTGACTATGAAACTTATCATATTCTCCAGCAGCAACTGCAAGGGAGGTGTTCACATCAAGTGATCATTTCAAAAGGACATGATCCTGGGGAAAACACTCCTACCCAATCCATTTATGGTATCCTACATCTTCCTGCCCTGCCTGACATCTGCCTGATCTACCAGAATGTGGAGAACAGCCACAGGTCTGCTCCACCTTCCTTCTGCCAGCACAGGAGAGCACAGGAGTCAGCAGAAGGAGACAAGGTGATCAGTCATGACTGATGATTAACATGCAGCATTGCTGCTGCTCGACCCACATCGGTGAGTAATAAAAGCCATGGCCTGATTTTTGTAGATCATCTCCCAAAAAGCTGAAGACTTTGGAGGGGCCTCCTTCTACTTGCAGGCTCTGAAGCACTGAGGTTGGGGGTGGGAGGGATTCATTCTTTCTGCTCAAGTACCAGAGAAAATGCTTTTCAAGATCTACTAACTTTTTGCTATGATTGCAGCCATGCTTTTGCCCTCATTCAAACCATGAAAGCAGTCATGGCTCCAACATGCACACAGAGCTTTAACAGGGCAGCAGGGCATGTGCAAGTTGGGTTCCGTAATGCACTTTCTAATTTTCTGCTCTTAGACATATCTCTGTAGTTAAAACAATAAATTGCTATTTCAAAGGTAGCTAGCTTACTTCTGAGTTGCAGCCACGATATGTTATTTTAGACTGACCACACTTGCATATGCCATTCTAAAAATTCACCCCAGATCACAGCTTCAGTATAATTTCATGAGTGTGACTCAATTTACAATGACAACTTTACACTACACTTTCACATTCCCTCCTTTCAGTCCAAGCCACTGCCCAACACATACCACAAGCTGACCTACTAATTCACCACATCCACAGCTCCTGCCCATGCCACACAGCATTGTGGAGACGGAACCTGCCTTTGCATAAAGACTTGAGGTGACAAAACATCCCACCCCACCTAGGTATGCTGCTCCACTATTTAATTATCCACACTGTTAAAACCAAGGGGCAAGTCTTCCAGTTTCACTGGCCAAGCCAGTGATGTAATTCCAACTTTGATGTTTTAGGGGACTGAAAAGCTTTAGCAACTTACTGGGGCCTTCCTTCATGCTTGCTCACCATACTATTTTCATTACCAATTCTGCCTAGAATTGCTACAAGAACATACCAAGCCAGATACAACCTGCTTGCCTGCTATTAATTAAGGTAACACTATTACTGAATAGAGTCCAAGGTTTTACTCCCACATGGCAAGCAAAAGCTTGCAAGGCTATGCAGCCTTGGAAGCCCTTCCATATGCAACCCATCCACCTTCTAAGGGAAGCAAATGAGCAACGGGATGCTCTCGTACTAGCAGCCAAAACACCATGCATGAAGGCAGCTCTGGCTAAGCCAGGGAGCGACCAGCCAGCCTCCAAACCCACCAGCCAATAATCCCACCCTCTGTCCACAGAAGAGCATGGCTGTTACCCTGTTCCACTCACACACAGTTACAGCCAGGGGATGTGGAGCAAAGGGAGAGTGAACTCCCTCCCTTCTCTGCACCTCCAGCATTCCTTGCATATTAGATTTCCATGGAAAACAGTGGCTTTGTTTTCCTTTCTCTTTCCATTACGTGCCCAACTACAAGTATGTGAAGGAATTATAAAGTACTTAGTTTGGATAACCAAGCATATCGACTTTACTAGTTAGTAAAATGTAATTTAAGAAACTGTATGTCGGTAAAAAGAACAGAGACTACATTCAAAATGAAATAAGGTACAAATAGCTCAAATTTTCAGCAGAGAAATCCATGCTATGAAAGGATCAAGATTAGTTAAGCTAGTTCTTTTAAAGTGGCTTCCTCTTCAGGGATGCCAGCGGATGAAAATGCAGCAAAAATTATTAATGTTGTAAGTTTTACGTTAATGCAAGCTATTTAATTCAAAAGCAAGATGAAACCTTGCAATATTATCTTGCAAATAATAATATTTTGTATCATGTATTTTTCAGTATTTTAACAATTAAACATTTCAAATATTCTTGCTAGATAAAGGTCAAAACTCTCAAATCCAGAGTAGTTTTTTAGGGGTAGTTACCACTACCGATACCATTAATGGCTGCAACCCCCAGGTCTCTGCTGGCATTAATACCGCTTTGACACAGCTTGGGTACCACCAGTGAGCCATACATCATATGATCAGGAAGCACATTTGAATTCTTATTTTAAAATTACTTGTTCAGAGATAGAGAACTGTTTGAGATATGCAGTCACTTCAAAGCACAAGAGGTGAAGTTTTATTCTGAGAGGGTATTACAAAACCAAGAATAGTAATGAAACCCAGAGCAATTAAAATGCAAAGTGTCAGTGTTAGATGGAGAATCAAATTAAACTCTAAATTTTTTATTAAATACCCACTGTAATGAATGGAAACCCTGACTAAGGAGAGGATTCACCTCACCTCTGGTATTGGTTGCCAGTCTGAATGAGCTGGCCAGCCTTTCTCCTTGAGCGCCAGAGAGAGATGGCTACTTCTAGAGGGATTCCCTCCATGTAGTCAAGATGAAACCTATCTCCTTTTCCTTCATTTAAATTTGCTACAGACTTAAAAATTAAAACTCAAGAATTCCCACTCTTAGAACTAGGAAAAGAAAATCACTTCACTGCAGGTGAATCACTAACGACTGAGGATTTGCTTGAGGTGCTCTAACTGGGACAACATCTATAACCACCGTGCAGTCTCGCTGCCAGCAATGGCCAACATGTCTGATTTGAGGTGGGCCAGCACCCAGTTTGAGGCCATTGAACTTAACTATTTTCCACCAAATCAAGTGGACTTTGAAGCAAGGCAGAAAAAGATGATATTCTTTCCCTATACTGGCCTGTGTAAGCACAGCAGCTGTTGCAGTGATCAATAAGAAGCCAAGCGGGAGCAAGTAAGTGGTCTGTATAATTACAGAGCTGTGCTGGTGAAGCCTGCTTGCTGGGCAAGGCAGCTGGCAGAGGTGAACACCCATGAAGGAGAACGGTGTTATTGGCCAGGGCTCGTGCATGCTTCCCAGAGAGGGATTAAGACACTCACATAGGTTTTTTATGACTGATTCAACCAGTCCTTCAGCAGCCCTGTCCATCAGAGGAACAGTAGGCAAAACATTTAAAGCAACAGTAAAATCTTAATCTTACTGCAATCAGGTTTCCACTCTGAATCTTTTATGGCTACTCACAATCTACTGAGGATTTTGTGATTGCACAAATACTTCTGGAAATTAATTTTCATTGCAAACCAGTGCATCTTGGAGCATAAACAGATTCACAGCAAGAAGTCCTAACCAATATTAAAAATTGTTTCAAAAATTGCAAGGTCTGTGTTGAACTCAGGTGCTCTTTGGAAACCATTACAAAGTATTGTTATGATTGCAGAGAACCTCAAGTCTCCAAATGCAGAGCCAAGGTTTTGTTTTGCCAGCTACAGACATATGAGACACAACCTGTAACCCTGGTGTGGGAGATTTCAGGACATCAGCCCAGAGGTTACATTCAGGCTTCTGTAGAGAAATTTTAAACTACTTTAAAAAAAAAAAAAAAAAATAGAAAAGATTCAACTTAGCCGTCCCTAAACAGACAAAGCTTCCAGCAACTGATAAGGAAGACATTTATCTGAATGTTTCTATTTTTTCAAGCTGTCATCACACATGATATCTTTAGATTTTTCTGTACAAAAGACAGTGTTAGATTTAAAGGCTCATAAATGCAGCAGAAGTTGGTACAGCACTAGGAGTATGTGAACGAGTGTTTTGGGGTACAGTGCATGTTTTTCATGCGCTGTGTATAGAGAACCTCATATGCTCACACTTCACAGCATTTCAACTAATTCAGCACTACTGAGAAGGGCCCTTGGTTTGGGCATCTTCATGTTTCAGAAAAACCTGTCCTGGCAGTCTTAGACGATCTTTGACCACAGGTTCAAATTAAATCAAGTAGTTATGAGGACTTTGTTGTCCAAGGTAGCCTCTGGATTATATTGCCAAAACATTACAGACAGGAAATATATCAAAGGATTAATTACTTCCAAAAATAACCAGGGCAATTGCTGTGCTTCCGCATTCACAAGAATGGTCTCAGCCTTCTGGATTAGGTGCCTAAAATTGCAGTTTCCAGAAATAATACCAAGTTGCCGAATTTTTCCTTTGACAAAGAAGCCAAGCACAATTTTGGTAAATGAATGTGCAAAGTATTGTGATTAGTTAACCTGTAAAAGGCCTTCACTTTTAAGAACAAAGAGCATAGGCACTTCAGCAGCATAACGATATTTGCCCTGAATCTTTGAATATCCCAGGGCATTTGTGAGTCTAGACTAAATTGAAGGGCAGGGTTATTACAGGATGAAGACACACAAAATGCCATGAGAGCTCTACAGGGGAGCTAACATTAAGTCAACACACAGCAACGACCTCTTGCTCGGCTTTTTGGTTTTGGCTTTTTACTAGCTGGTGGATCCTTTTCCGTGCATGTCTCATCAATATGCTTGTGCACACCTGATAAAAAAATAGGGGCCTCCAAGCTGCTTGTAACCCGGCTTCTATCTTGTTCTTCCACCTCATCACTATTATAATGATAGGCATATCTGGGGGAACTGGCAGGCTTGTGAGACTTCAGCAGGCGAGGGTTGGTCGGCTGGAAAGGCAGGGCGTGTTGTCCTCTCCGTCTGCACTCCTCAGCAAAGGCTTCTTCATCTGCCTCACCTGAAAAAGCAGAGTGCAAGAAAAGTGAGCTGCAACTAAAATGCTTAAGTTTAGCCTGAAAAAAAACCCCTCAAAACTGGGCTGGAAATTGGGTGTCACAAAACTACTGCCCTGGCTGTGGTTAGCTCACAGATAGTCCCATCTGCCAATCGAGGAGTGTTTGCAGCAGAAAGCTCCGTCACTGGCCTCTCACCACACTGAAGCCACTCAAAAAAGTCGGCTACATGTAACAACGCTGGGGCCATGGTTTGCTTTTTCCCAAAAGACAGTGTGAGCTAGTGGAGCACATGGCCCTGGATGGCATGTCATCTCATCCCACCTCACCTGGACTGTCTGTCTGGGAAGGGTTGGCCCTGCTCAAGGAAAATCTATAGGGAAAGGAGGGAGAAATACTCAAGCTGACTACAGGGATGGTGGGAGAAAAACAAAGCCAACGTGGGTTCAGAGGGGCTGGATATTGGACATCCACAGCTTGAAGGATGGTAGAGACATATGAAGGATCACATGAAGGTGAGAAATTGGGGTGAAGATGTAAGAGTTAAGCATGATCCTGGAGTCAAGGCAGGCAATCACAGCAAAGGCAAATGAACACTATGGAAATTAAAACCCAATATTTGCAAAAATTAATATGAAAGATGAGGTACTCCAGTCATACTCATGCTGCTTTGCAGATGACACTTTCCTTTGCTGCAGAAACTGTAACAGTACCAATGCTGCAAAGTAGAGATATCAGCTACCATAACCAAAAAAATAGAGAAAAGAAAAAAAAAAGAAGACCCATACATTGAAGAGCAAACAGTAAGGTAACAAATAAAAAGGTAAAGACATTCAACAAGGAAAATAAGATGGAAAAAAATAATAAAAGAGAAGAAAGGTGTGTACCATATTTGTCTCTTACAGGCTTTTTAAAGTTTCATTAATTCAATTACTTAAGTACTTTTAATAGACCTGATGAAATATGGCGTCATTTTATTTGCATCAAAAGTGGTGTGTCACATTCTGGAAGTTTTTCCTGGGATGTGCCCGGCATCAGCTGCTTTGGGAGGGGTGTGTGCTCTCAGCTAATGCGTGTTCTCTTAGTTCATGGCTGGAAAATGCTTTGAAGATGGAAAAAGCACCACGTATGCAGTAAGGAACAAAAGCAGTATTACCCACTTCATCGTGTGCACCAAACCGCCGACACTTTCAAACAGAACAGGTTGCTTTGTCTTTACCTTGTAATCACACATGGGGAGATGCTTCTGAGGTTGTGAGGAAAAGGAGGCAAGCTAGGTTTAAAAAGTCACTTCACGGTGCAATTCAACACCCGAGGCTTCACAGGAGGACTCCAAGATGTGCCTCACGTTGCCCCACCATGCATTTGAGCACCTGATATGCATGGATATTATGCAGAGGACCCTTTTTCCCAGGTGATTAAATGCCATTCCCTTCCTCAGTGCTCACACTTTTTTACCCTGGAGTTCCCTGCACTTCTGAAGGCACGAGCAAACAAGACAAAAACACAAGTGATGATAACACCAAGGATTTCTGCCTTTAAACACTGCCTGCCTGCATCATGCCAATGTAAAACTCTGTGTGCAATTCTCCTTGCAGTAGGAGAGGGCTGGGATGATGGCTTTTTTAGTCTCTTATGTGGCACAGAGCTTCAGCTACAAGAGGCTGTGGGCAAGGAAAAGCTCAGAAAATGCCAGAGGCAGAATTGCTGGCATTTCCCATAAGAGGCTATGGAATTTTACACACTACGTAAACAGCACTGAAGCATGCATCAGTCTGATGATACCAGATCTATGAAGATGAAGCCTATCAAATGCCAAGAGTGAAGAAAAAAAAGAACAAGCATAGGAAACCCATGTACACCAGTTGCACATACAAAAACCAGTCGAGAGAGTTCACTTCCTAACAAATTATAGTGCACCAGAAATAGGAGATCCCTCCCTTCCCATGGAAACACAAACTGCATGGCTTTTTGATGTGCAAAGTCTTGCTTGATGCACGTTTAAAATTTACACTGGCAAGCAGATGCAGGAATGAGATGTGTGCTGAGGCCATTGTCAAAGCTCGGTGTGTGCATCACAGAGACACCCCAATCAAACACGCTAACACTTAACACAGTTCAGTATTAAACCAGATGCTCCACACGCACTCCAAGAAGTAACTCCTAACTATGCTAGAGATCAATCTCAACACCTTTACTCCAATTCAGCTTGTGTCAAAGGCACAGTTTAACACTGGAAGAATTCAAAATAACCTTGCTCCTCCCTGGTGACATACCTGCAGCATCACTGTGTGCTGGCAGTCTTGCACCCTGATGCCTCCTTGGTCTGCTGCTTGCAGTGAGCGCTCCCACAAAGCTGCTTTGCTCTGGGAGCTGAGCGCTGCCACCAGCCCCACAGCACTGAGCACCTAATGAAGCCACAGAAAGATCTTCCAGCAGGCATTTGCTGCTTGAGTCCAACTTAAAATAAAAGATAAAAGCACAAAAGACATTCCACATTCCAAACTTTACAATTAAATCAACCACAGTCTAGAGACGAAGCAGGAGCTTGTCCTTCTTTATCAAATCCTGCGAGAGCTGCTCTGCAGAGCGGGTTTTAGCCCTTAGCTCCTGACAGTATGAGCACCACTCTGCCTCAGGAAAACAATGGTACCTGTCTGTTAAAAAACTCCTGTGTGCTTTTGGACAAGTCCTTACAATTATGCCACATTTTGTCTATGAAGTCATGATAGGCCTTCTCCAAGGCTTTGCCTGGCATGTTCACCTGTAGCTCTTCTGCAAATGGCCCAGAGCATGGACTGTCCCCTCCTCCAGTGGGGTTCATAGTTCAGTTGCTCTATGAATGATGATACACCAAGAAAAAAAAAAAAAAAACCAAAAAAAAAAAAAAAAAACACAAAAAAAAACCAAGAGACAATTCCTGTAATGCATATTTCTCTTTCCTTCAAAAATGATCCAAAACTAACCCCCAAAGCTGGACCTTGCACTGCACCATCACATCGTCTGAAGGTGCTGCACCAGCCCAGTGAGCCCAGGAGAGCCCTGGCTGTGCTTGGTGCTGCTGGCATGCTGCCTGCCCTGCTGCCTGCCCTGCCTGCACCGGTCTGCGATGCCGCCCTGGGGTTTATCGGTGGGATGCAGCTGTGGCTGAAGCGCAAGGAAGGGGCACGTGGCTGAGGGTGGGAATCGGTATGAAATGCTTAGAGACCATCCACTGGGATACAAACGGTGAAGGGCCTGTTTGCAAACTTGTTCAAATCCACCACTTGTCCCCAAAGAATTGGCAATATATACTAAACCCTAGAGCATAACTCCTCAGTACTGGACTTGGGGAACCAGCATCCCTTCGGATGTCTTCAGTCTTTCCTCATAAGCTCCCTAACTTTCTGTCATCAAGGATTTGTAATCAGCATTTTTGCTAAACTAAGCTGACCTGTGTTATACATCAATAAAATACCCTCTTAAACTGCCACCACCATTACTCTGCTGTTTGGGGTGAGAGCATTGGTACACCAGAGGGGCTGTGCCTGCGTGCCACAGAACATAATACAGTGGCAACTGAAGACAAATACTTTATTTACTTTGATTAGACTACAAATTTGCCCAGTTTTCCTCCAGAAGAATAATTTCTGTTTCCCATTTTGGGGCTGCCTGTGCCTGCCCCCATCTGTCCTTTGCCCCACAGTGGAGCCCCGGGGGGATGCAGAGCAGCTCCCCACCTCTACACAGGCAGCACACTTTGCAGCTAAATCATAGAACGGTTTGGGTTGGAAGGGACCTTTAAAGGTCATCTAGTACAACCCCTCTGCAATGAGCAGGGACATCTTCAACTTGATCAGGTTCCTCAGAGCCTCATCCAACCCGACCTTGAATATTTCCAGGGATGGGGCATTAACCACCAATCTGGGCAACCTGTTCCAATGTTTCTCCACCCTCATAATAAAAAATTTCCTCCTTATATCTAGTCTGAATCCCCCTCTTTCAGTTTAAAACCATTACCCCTTGTCCTATTGCTACAGGTCCTACTAAAAAGTCTGTCTCCATCTTTCTTATAAACCCCTCTTAAGGATCAAGAGGATTAAATCCCAACAGAGTCATTCAGTTTTCCATCTCCCCCGAAGTAAAGACAAGATTTATTTAAAAAAATAGACACCAAAAAATTGTCCAAACATTTTTGCCTTTATGAGTTGCAGGAGAGCAGGATGGCACGACAAATTAGTTAAATGCTGTAACGTCACATTGGCTGTGATTCAAATATTGAATTATGTACGGTGCTGTGCACGGTATGATCCTCTAAATGTTTGATCATCTATCTTTAATACACCTTGCAAAGCAAAACTAAAGTGTCATTTGCATCAAATATTTTCTCTTATTCTACATTATTTAAACATATTTGAAACATTCAAGCCAGCCTCTGAATAAAGCTAGCTGTACCAATTGCAAATACGAGACTTTGAAAGAAAGTCCTCTGGGAAAGGTCAGTCACATAGGGCATCACCACCAAAAAGTGCTTAAACATTGCTGGAGCTTTGTCAGCAGTGATATTTGTCCTGGAAAAGGCTTTTAGGAAGACTAGTTGTATGGGGGGGGGGAGGTCCATAGCCGAGTTCAGAGCTGGAATATCCACTTGAGAAGGAACTTTCAGGGTGCTCTGGCTTTAAACTGCCCTCGATTCCCCCCATGGCTCCTTGCCGTGTCCTGTGCCTCCAAGCCAGCACACCCACAGGGCAGCCGTGTTGTGAATCCAAGCAGGGGACTGACTCAGGTTAAAAATAACGCTCTTTTTGTGAGCTTATTTTTAACCCAGCTCTGTGCCTGGATCCAGCTCATCGTGCAGCTGCCCCAGCTGGAGCAGGGAAGGGGTCAATTATTGGGGGCTGCTGGAATCAGCATCCAGATTACAGTGTTAAGCAAAAGTTCTTATTCTACTAATGCAAATAATAATTTAAAACCTTGCAGTTATTTCACTTGCAAAACCAGTTTGGAGAAGTTACACTTCTAAGGG